GGGGGGGAGAGAGAAACTTTTGTTCTTCTTTTATTCCGAGAGAACACAAAAACCTCTGCTCGCTGAACAAGCAAAGGGTGTTCATTCTCGGTGGGTGAAAGAAACGAAAAGGAGAAAATGTCATTACATTTATTTAATTACGTCTATGTGCATGAGTGCGCCTGCATCGGGGTGAAGGTCCGAGAACAGACAGGCAGGCAGCCAGCAAGACTTGAGTACATAAACACGGCCAGTCGGACAAGAAATCAAGACGACAAGCAAACAGAAAATCAAAGAGAGGCAGACAAAAAACAGGCAGACAGAGAGAGAGAGAGAGGGGTAGCAGGTTGAAGAGAAGATAATTATTGACACGATAACTTAAAGGACATTCAGCACTTGGAAACAAAATGATGTTTTGTTTTGTTATTTTGTTTCGTTTTTTTTGTTTTCTTTTTAAATGTTTTTTAGCTTTAGTTTTAATAAAAGGTTTACGGCACTTGTAAAACTTATAAGTCTTATAAGTGCCGAAGAGTAGATGTGTTACGTATACTAGATATTAGCAGAAGGAAAAAGGGAGGAGATAAAGACAATTGTTTAATAGCAAAGAAGGAGCAAACCATACCAGACAACCCGACAACCACCCACGACACGATAGGCTGAAACACAGGGGCGTTGTTTCCAAAAGTAGAACCTACCAGTACCACAAAAGACTGAAAAACGGACACGTGGGGATGTAAACGAACATAGGTGAAAAGAGACAAGCAGGTCAAGAAGCAGACAGATAAACGAGATATAAATTGGTTGAACACAAGTGGACAGACAGACACAAGACAAGAGGGGAGAAAAAAAGCTGTATTTCAGTTTTCAACCAAAGCGGCGCGGCACAAAAGTGAAAGTGGCCACATTTCGCCAAGAACAGATAAGGATGGGGGCAACTCAGACAACGAGAAGGGCCTGAGCACATGTGAGCAAAACAAGCCAGCTGTTGACAAACCAACAGACATAAGGATGAGAGAGACCCAATCTGGAGACAACAGACTAGACATGGAGAGCTGGATATAGACTTAGACATTCTCACATTCCAGACCACAGAAATATATGGACAGAAATATATGGACAAAAATGAAAGCAAACACAGACAGACGGACACTATAAGTATACAGCAGTCAAGTAACTATATAGGCACCATGAAACAAAACAAACAAAAACGCACAATACATTTTTTAAAATATTGTTTTACTCACCTATAAATATAATCCACCGCTCCGACATAGACATTCTGGCTCTCCACATTGACAGCCAACAAGCGTAGACTCCCATTCTCATGCGGAACAACAAACTCCGCTGTCTTGTAGCGCTCCACGGGCGTTGAGCGAAGACAGCTAGCGGGAGCGAGCAAGGCTAGCAGCAACACTAAGGCAGATAGCAACGGGGAAGGAAGCGAAGTGAGCCTGGGGGCCGTTCCGAGCTGAAGCGACCGAAGCAGCCACAGCGGCAGGAGTCCAGAGAGCGACGAGGCACGGCTCATGGTGGCGCTCTAGGAGACCATCTCACGGCCTGAGGACGAGAAAATAAGGAATCACATTACATTGCTGTTGTTGTTGTTGTTGTTGTTGTTGTTGTTGTTGTAGTAGTTGTTGTTGTTAAAGGAAATAAGGAACTCATTTACATTGCTGTTGTTGTTGTGCTGCTGCTGTTGTTATCATTATTGCTGTTATCTTCTCATCCCACCAACCACACGAAGACCGCTATTCGCGGAGGTGGTGGGGGGAATGGGCCAAGCGGGTCTTTTAATATTTTAAATCAGGCCACACCATCGAAAAAGGTCATGACCATTTGGAGCGACCGTACGGAAATCGACAAAACACGAAATAACAGCTCGACTGGACAGAAACAGCAACGAGTGGTATGTTTTTTAATTTGGGTTCAGAGAAGGAAGTCTAAAATTACATAGTGTGATGATTTGAGATTTTGAATTAGGACAACCGACAGGTGGCACTGGACATATTGTCCAGAAAACAACACAGGTTTTTTAAACTATTTTTTTTGTAAGAGTTTTACGGCACTTGCAATACAATAAGGTCGGTTTAGTTTTAGTAAGTGTGTTACGGCACTTGCAACACAATAAGGTCATACAAGTGCCAAATATTCGAGGTGTTACAAGAGAGTAACAAACACACACAAAGGAGGAGAGATAAGGACAATAGGTGTTTGATAGGAAAGAAGGAGCAAACCACACCAGAGCATCCGCCAACCACCCACTCAATGAGATCATTACAGTACCTAAGATTACAGGTGTTACAAGAGAATAACAAACACAAAAAAAGGGAGAAGAAATGAGGAACGATAAATGTTTGATAGGAAAGAAGAAGCAAACCACAACACAAAAACAAAGCAACGCAAATCTAGGGAAAGGGTAACAATACACAGAAAATGTTGAAGGCAAAAGAACAATTTAATCTAGTTCAAACAGCTCGAAAACCCCAGTCTGTTGTTGTGGAGAGCGGAGATTAGCTTCTCAGATGATGCTACAAGACGAAGCCAAATGCCAGCACTGACAAACCACGTCAGCCTCCTTGAACAAGATGAAGCGACACGGAAACCGGAGAGGGGAGCTTACAGCTCAGACTTTAAAAAAAGAGAGAATACTCCCCCTCCCTCCCTCCCTCTCTCTCTCTCTCTCT